CTAAACCCCCCCCCCCCCCCGGGTGGGGGGTTTTTTTTTTTTTTTTTTTTTTTTTTAACCAAGCTGGAAAAAAAATGTACACCAATGTAACCTACTTCTATCCCTAACTTCAAAGCTGACATTAAAACGCTACATTAAAAGTCTTCCACTACGCTGATATATGCAGCGGAGACAGAGACTAACAGCATGACACAGCCTGTGCGCTCAGGTGTCAGCACCAAGCTCCATGCTCATCTGTTGCCGGCAGGACACCGGCAAAAACCACAGCGTTAATCCCGCACCCGTGAAGCTACTCGCTCGATCGCACAGAAAAAGCCTGCATAGGCCAAAAAAAAAAGAAAAGAAAGAAAGAAAAAAATGAGGAGAAGAAAAAAAATCTCCTCGTAGGTAAACCAGTGCATTTGTGTAAATGATGTGTAAAAAATATATATATATATATATATATATAATGATAAAGCAGTGCTCTCTGAAATGTATGCAGATGGAGGCATCTTGCTACTTACAAGGGCTGTTGACAGAAAAGCGTACTCTCCTGGGTGAATAGGACTCGTTTTGCTCCAGTTCATATGCAGATGCATTCAGCACCATCAGGAGAAAAAGTCCGGTCCTCAAAGGCATTGTCCTCTCAGCGCAAGAGATCGCACAACTAAATGCACAGAGACGCTTCCTGCTTTGTGTGCAGTTCATAAGAATGAACGCTCCTGGAGCCTCGGCTGAGCAAATCTAGGCTGGAACAAGTAATTTCCTCCTACTGTGCACTCCTCTCTATCCTTTTGACTTGAATGACAGATTGCACCGATGTCAGGTCTGCACGGGTTTATATGGGAGCGCTTTATGTTACGAGTTCAGCGCTCGGACCAATCACAATCCAGCAGCAGCGTGGCGCTGCTCTCCCTGCTATCATCAATTGATGGAATAATCTAACAGCGGTCAACGCTACCGGGTCATGCAGATTGACATCTGGGCTTTAGCGCCTGATTTACTGTACGATGCAACATGTTTTCTTTTCTGTTCTGATTCTAAAGATGACTTTTAAAGAAGTCTTTCCCGAAAAGTCTTGTTTTAGCATTAATAATAATAATAATAATCTTTCAGCATGAGTTACATTTTACTTAACCTTAATAACAGAAAATTGCAGCTCTCCTCATGAACATGACGGGGCTGACTCTAAGTAAGTCGAATTATATATATATATATATATATATATATATATATAATTTCAGGATGAGGAATTCTTTCCAGGTTTGGGCTATATGTGCTTTTTACATTTTTCTAAAATCAACAAATCTGATGCCAAATCTATTTGTTTTTAGCAACATGTTGCTCAGCTTTCTGAGTGAGAAGAGTGTCACGATCCTCGGGTTATTTGCATAATTTCCCTAGTGTTTATATCTGTTTAATTTTCAGCCATATTCTTTTCAGTTCGCCTCTTTCTGTTTACTTTCTTAGTTGTTTTTTGTGTTCTGTTCTGTAGATTCAAAACGATGTCCCTTTTTCGTTGAGTACTTTTTTTAATCACCTGTGTTTGTTTTTCATTTTCCATCAGTCTGCCTGTTGGCCTTCACTAACAGGTGCATCTATTTTGTAATCAACCACTTGTATCTTGTTAGCAATCACTCACACAACCAGTATCTAAGCCTTTCTGTTTCCTGCTGGATTTTTCTGGACAGTCTTTCTAGACCTGCATTTGCTGCAGTTTTCCTCTGTAAGTTCTCCATATTATTCTTCCTTACACAATAGTCATTTTACTTGAGTCAGATATGCATTTGGATCCTTTATCAAAGAGCATGTTCCCTGCAATCTAAAGGTGATGGCTTTGACTGCAGCTTCCACTGCTGCCACATACCGGTGTGCCCCTGAAGTTGCCTACCAACCTGCCTATTGATGTTTAAATGTGTGCATTTATGAGTGCGGCTGGCGATTGTGACTGAAGTGTAAAGCGGTTCGAGTGCTCAGCATGACTAGAAAAGCACCATAGAAGTTCAATCCATTTACCATTTGTTGAATTTCTCGTTACAAAAACAGGACCATTAGATTTCCCAGAAAATGTTGACTGCAGACTTGGCTTGAAACTATAAAACTTGAAAGAACTAAAGAGCGAGGTTAGAGTTTTTAAAGCGAGGTTATGTGAAGTTATTATCAGTAATGGCTGCCTCAATTGGAGAGCCTTGTACTATAATGGTAAGGGAACTGCTATCATTAATGATTTCGCAGAATCTCACTTTAAAACGTCTGAACTATTCTGTCAAATCACAAATGCAATCTCATTTAGGATAAAAATGACATTTGTGAGCATATGTTCTGTTTTTCATGTATCAATTTGTAAAATATAATGACATTTTGTACTTGAGGTCCATTTATAACACAAACTTTTCTCCATGGTGGGTGCATCCATGGATTGTACATGCTGAAAACTTTAAATTACTTCTGTCAGAGCTGTTTAAGAATATTACAGTACAGTGGCACCCTGTTGTCATACGTTACATGTTACAACAAAACCTAAAAATCATCACTAAACTTGCTTTCAGCAAACATCTGTGTAACGTCCATGCCTCTTCTGAACAGCTCAGATTTTGCGTAACTGGCCAAGTTACACAGACTCCCCAGCTCTTTAACACATTAATAACATTTTTAATCAACAAGTGTTGTAGTCAAATTTAGCAGGTACTTCACCAGATGTCAACAGCCCTGGCTGAATGTCAACCCAAAACATTCAAATGACATATTTCCTTTATCGCTCTGACATTTTCCTGAACCGTGCTCCGTGATGACGCCATTGTTTCTTTGGCTTTAGGAAATCAACTTGACATGGAAATGAGCTACTCGCACAAACTGCGGATAATCGCCGCCCTCTCTGGAACTGCGAAAAAGCGCTGGCTTGGAGTCCAGCTGCACGTGCCCGACATACAGAGGATTATGTGTGGGACTGTAAGCTATCATTTATCATGGAGGCCTCACGCCTCCTCACATCGTGCAACGCTCAGCCGTTTCAGACAGGATGGAGGCTGAAATATTCCGATAATCAAAGGAGGGATAGATTCAGATGGAGATTTACTGCTACAGGTCCCCTGACAGTCATGTAGCGATGCTATTTCTCTTATCACACATGTTGGGGATCAGCTAGTCTCTCTGAGCCAAGCATACATGAACTCCAAATACTAAATAACCTTGATTTATTTTATTTTTTTCTTATCCCTCCCGAGTCAGAAAGGGTAAGTAATTCAAAATCATTGCCCCGTCTCATTATTAGCAGGAGTTTAGCATCTTGTCAAACTGTTGGAACCTGATGCCTGGCGAGAAAGCCAACGATGGGCCCTTGCCAGCTGCACCAGTGCCCTTTTAATGGAAAAATAAGATACTTTAGTCAGTCTAATGAATAAGCTGCTACCAACTGTCCCACTAAATCTTTCTCAATAATCTAAACACAAACAGTAGCAGCTTACAATTTGGACGAATATATTCACTCGTTTTTACGAAGGTAAGACAAGAACTTAATGAGGATTTTGCCTCGATGGCACCCAGCCAGTAGCATATGGAGGGTTCCTCATTGATGATGCAGTGTCTTTTCCAGGTTTTCAACCCGATGATGCTGAAATAATAACTCCTCGATGATGTTCCTCTTGATGATATTAACTCCCTGACGTTATTGCGATTTAACAGGTAAGCAATTTCACACTTTGTTCAAATTAAATTAATTTGTCTTGTCCCAACAACACCCTTTTCCCCTCTAACTTTTCTGCTTGTCACACTATAAATGCAACTAGTCTTTTCCTGAGCAGCCTTCCAGTTTACTGGTTATTGCAGCACTCGGATTTGTGTGCTGTACGACTGTAATCATGTCGTTGTATGTGTTAGTTTTCTGGTTTGTCTCTTTTTCAGGAGAAGTTCGGTTGGCCGTATTGACAGGTTCAGAAGTTGGTCTTCTTCTTGTGAGCGCTTCAGTGTGCTCTCTTATCTCCTGGAGCTCTGCCATACCACAAGTACATTTGAGACGGCCCTTTGTGGTTTCCTCTGGGGAAAAGCATAATGAATTCCTTTGTCAGGTAGGAGAAGGTGTTATACTTTGTTTTTGGAGATATGACAGGGAACGGTGGCATGGCACGGGAGATCGAGGGCAGAGTTCAGTGAGAGGACAAATCTGTTAGAGGATAAACATTGAGGCCGCTGAAACAGCTGAGGGTTTTGCATTCATTTCCATTGAGGTACATGAACTGATTCACTGATTGGAAGCCACTTTGCATCTTAGTTGAATTTTGCCCTAAGCTCATTGCTGTATGCATTAAAAATACTGCTTCACTTATAACCATTTTACAACTGCATATTTTAGGTATTTTTTAGATTTAACACTGAAGTAGCAAAATGATTTCATTTTATTTTTCTATCAATCACTATCAATTACAGTTTTTTTTCTAAATCAAAAACACAAATTATTTCCTTTTTTATCAGCTAAATACTTTAAATGTCAAGGACCCTGTCAACTTGTGCCCACTAGAGGGAGTGTGATCAGGTTTTACTGACTATAAGTCAACTCCCACAGTGCAACATATTCAAATGCTCTAGTATGTGGTAGAGTTGAAAAGTAGACTTTATGATTATTAAAGGAAATGAAAGACCACCTGCAGGATTACAGATACAAACATTGTAAACCCACTCAGCTCTGGTTTGTTGGCCCTCCCTTTGCAACTGTGAGTGTGCGCCTGTGTTTTGATGTGTGAAGTTTGGCCAGGGGGATAATGTGTTTTTCTCTCCAACTGCAGATGCTTGCGGTGTTCACATAAGAATAACACTTAATTTTGAGGGAAATATTTTAGTGGGAGGTGGGCTTTGGGCAGAATGAACGTATAATCCTTCAGTTAGCTACAGCATCCATCACTTTAGCAACCCTAAAAGCAGGAATTATGTCATATTTAATCATTTTACTATTTTGTCATTCTCTCCTAATACAAATAAGTGAACAAGCTTATGAAAATGTTTTTTTTTTTTAATTGTAAACTGCTTGTGTGAGTCAGATTATTCTGACCAATATTGCTTCCATCACAACCTTTAACTCTTTGTGTTTTTGGTCAAACGTGTTCAAGTAAAATATTGAAACAAAGTTTCTGCTAACACAACTGTCAAACAAAGCTCATTTGTGTTATTCACTTCTCAAAAAACATCTACTTTAAACAAATCTCAGTGTAAGGTGGAATTTCAAGAGGGCCAATAATTAGAAACATAAACCTAAAACATCTCATTAATGCATCAGCAGAAAGGAACATTTGACTTGTTTTTATGAAAGATGTATCTTCATTTTTACTTTCAGACAGCTGTTTGTTTTTCCTGAGGCTGATGCAAATTTGACTTGATGGAAAAACTCAGATGTTCTACATTCCTGAAAGTACATCCAGTACAAGTTTTAGAACAATGCATCTGGTTAAATAAAACCACAACCTGTTGTTGAGTAACATGAAATATTAGGTTCTAAGTATTGCACACGTGTATCTCCTGAGGAGGACGTACAGTACTAAGAAAGTATTTACCTCTCCCATATTTCATCTGTTTGCATTTTGTCACTCAGACATTTTTTTGGTCAATAAATCTCAACAAAACACAAATACCCATCCATCCATCCAGCTGAGGAACATAGGCCATTTAGTCCTGGGTCTCCTCTTAGAGCTACATGCCCAGAACAGTTCACCAGGAACGCATCCTGGAGGCACCACAACTGGCTCCTCTCGAAGCACAGAAGTAGTAGCTCTACTAGTAGATGCTCTTGGAAGACCAAGCATCTTATCCTATCTCTATAAGAGAACCTGGACACCTTGTGAAAAAAAAAAATAAAAAATCAGTCACTTGTGTCTCCAATGTTGTTGTTTTGGTTGTGACCCAAAGTTTGTGAGCATAGGAGAAAGTCGGAACATAAATCAACCTTTAAGTTGAAAACGTCATCTTTTGACTTATCTATCAGCACCCGTTTCACTCCAGACTTCGTACCAATCCCCCTATCGATCTCCCACTCCACTTTTTCCCACACTCGTGAACAAGACCCTGAGATAATTAAACTCGTCCACCTGGACTTGACCTCCTCCCCGATCAAGAAACCACTCTACTCTTTCAACCTGATGCTGAAAGAGTAGCATCAGTGGCCTTGGATTTGGAGGCACTGATCCTGAACCCGTCTGCTTCTCACTCTGCTCCAGCAAAAGCTGGTGATTATGACCTGATGAAGCCAATATGTCCATATCATCTGCAAAAAGCAGACACTCAATCAACCCTCAGGCCACCAAACAGGATCTCCTCAACTCCTTGCCTGAACCAAAAAATTCTGTTCATCAAAGTTATGAACAAAATTGGTGACAAAGGTCAACCTTGGTAGAGTCTAACTCTTACCAGAAATGATCAATACTTACTGCAGACCAAGCTCTGACACCCTAACGGCCCGAATCAAAAGGCTTGGCACCCCATTCTCCTGCAGTGCCCCCCTCAGGTTTCCCAGAGGAATGCTTTCGAACGCCTTCTACAAATCCACAAACACATGTCGACTGGTTGGGCGAACATGATGCTGCTGCGGATGTAGAGCTGGTCCCGTGTTCCACAGCCAGGACAAAAACCACCCTGCTCATCCTGAATCCGAGGTTTAACTATCCATCGGTCTGTCCTCTCCAAAACCAGGGAAGCTTAGGAGTGTGATCCCATGTAGCTGGAACACACTCTGTGGCCCCTCTTTTTAAATAAGACAAAGATAACTTATTGGGAAAAGCTCTCCAAAACAAGTCTGTGTTAAAAGTAATTTTCCCCATTGTAAAATCAGGAATTACCTGTGATTACCCATGTTATTTGGAAAGCTGTGTTTAATTTCATATGCCAAAACCAGGCCTAACTGCTGCCAGCCCAGTAAAATCAAGTTTTCACTTAAATAAACCCAGTCTAACAACATGGAGTTGGCTAAAAAAAGCAACACATCAACAAAATTATTGACATCTGTCAACCTGGACATGGTTACAAATACACTTTTAAAGCTTTGGGGCTTCAGTGAATTGTAGTGGGAGCCATGATCCACAAATGGTGAAAACAGGAGTTGCAAACAGAGCCAAAATGATCCCAACAGCACAGAGACGACTCTTTCAAGAGGTCACGAAAATCCCCAAAACGACACCCAGTTAACTGTAAGCTTCACTTCCCTCAGTTCAGGTCAGAGTTCATGCCGCCACCACAAGAAAGAGACTGAGCAAAAAATGGCCTGTGTGTTTGTCTCAGTTTTTCTAGAACAAATCCTGATGATCTCCATTAGGAGAACATCTCTGGACTGACGAGACACAAAGTTGAACTCTTTGTGTGTCCCAATCCACCTGTGGCAAAATTAGCACCACATTTCAGAAAAAGAACATCATAGCCATAATACGGTGGCAGTAGTGTGATAGTCTGGGGCTGTTTTGCTGCTTCACGACCTGGAAAACCTGCTACACTGGAATCGTGAGTCCTACCGTCTACCAGCAAAAACTGAAGGAGAACGTCATCTGTTTGTGACTGAAACAGAATTAAAAACTTTTGGAGTGGTCTAGTCAAAGTTCTGACACGAATGTCGATGAGGCACATTACTTTAAAAAGCCTGCTCATGCCTGAAAACCATTGAATGTGACTGAATTACAGCAAATTTGAAAAGACGATTGGGCTGAAATTCCTCCACTGTGCTGTAAACGACTCGTATCAAGTTATCGCAGCAGCTTGATTGCGGTCGTTGCTGCTAAAGGCGGCCCGACCTGGGTTTGAGGGGCAATCACTTTTTCACACAAGGCTATAACGCAGTTTTGTTCCCCTTAATGATATATGCCTTAATTCAAAACTGCATTGTGTGTTTACTTGTGTGTCTTTGACTAATATTTCAATTGCTTTGATGTTCTGAAATACTGAAGTGTAGCAAACATACAAAGGGGATAAATACTAATTCACACCATTATAGATTACAATGCACATCTTGCCTCTTTGTGATGGAAAATAATTTTTCTATTTATCTCTTTTTATGTGTACTGACACCCATGCAAACATTTAATTATTAACTTTAATGACCAAAATCACAGTGCCTGTCCCCTCAAAAGGGAGATGTCTCTATGCAGCGCGCAGTGGTACCTAGACTACGTTCCCTGCAACCGGCCATCTGGTTTCAGTTCAGATCCATCTGGAATTGACTCCAGCACAGGCATCTCAAGAATACATTTTGGAGTGGTGCCCACATCCGTTCACACAGACAAGTGTTTTCAATTAAGTGATTTTTTAAATGTCTCTAAAACCAAAGAAAATGAGCAGAGTTTAGGCCGGTGATGGTGACAAACATCACATTTGGAATTAGATGAATCAAAATAACTTGCTTTAATAAATAAACGTAGGACGTTTTTTTTGGGGGTTTTTTTATGACTCCTGTCCTGGAGTTTGACAAGGCTGTGCTTTGTGCGCTGAAGCACAGAGATCCAAGCAGAAAGATCATTTTAAGTTAAAACCAACATGAAGGATCCCCTCACTGCCAAAGCAAAATAACAAATTAGCTTCATATGTTGCAAACTGCTTCAAACTACGAGGAGAACATTTTAAAGTTTGGAAGTATTTGGCCTTCTTGATTTAATGCCTCTGGTTATTGCCAAAGAATCAGTTTTTAATTTCTCAAATAAGTGACGCAGCAATTTTACTCCTCTGTTTTTCCTGCATAAATGCTAATTAGAAGCAAAATAATGACTCTTCTATTCAACTTGCTGAAAAACCAAGAAACAAAATGAACCTTTGAAGAGATTTGCCTGTGTGCTCTGAGCAGCTGCATTTATAATCACTAGTAAAATAAAATAGCATTTATGTTACCTTACTTTAGTTGCTCCAAGGCTTGTATGGCTTCAGTATTTTAAATATCTTTATTGTAAGCTGTAATGTATTCCAAAATATGGAATATATGCTGTCCAATTAAGCGGCGGCAGTGAGTCCACACAAAGTACTAGGCCATTTTTTTGTTTTGCATGGCAACCCCGGGTTACCATCCGTACCCTTTAAGGTCCCCGTCAGGCAGGTCGCTTCACTCACA